TTGCCTTTGTGAGTTGAAAGAGAAGCTTTCTTTATCCCTCTTTGAAGAAACACGTGCTGGTCTGATCTGATTCTGTGTAACAGAAAGTGATGAGGGAACCCAACGGGCTGCTCATTCAAAACAAAGCAGTATTCCTCATAACGTCATAGGAGAGATGAGGTCATCTTCAGTGGACTGAAAAACAGCCTGTGTGTCAGACAGACTGAGCACGCTGCGACTCGGCTAACAGGCCAAGTGTGTTAGCCAGGACGGAGTCAGACGGCCATGTGGAGAGAGCAGCGCCAGGCTGGACCCAAGAAAACAGCCCCCCCCCCCCAACAGACTGCTTACTACACAGGGCGCATCCTCAAGATCCAAAGAAAATGTCTCCTCTCATTTTACACAGCTGTCATTAAATGATAAGAGTGTTAGTTTTTTTTAATTTAATTTAAAAAGATACAACTCACAGATGATAATTCAGATCTTTTTAAAGGGTGAACCTTTCACTTTTTTCTTGTCAGTGTTGAAAAGTCTCCTCTGAAACACCATGGAAAACTTAAAGGGGCCCTTATCTACTTATTTGCAGGTTCATATTTGTATTTAGTGCCTCTAATGCTACACGTTTTCATGCTTTAAATGTTCAAAAAGCTCTTTATTTTCCTCATAGTGCCTGTCTTCTCACCCTCTGTCTGAAACCAGAGCCCAGTCTGCTCTGATTGGTTAGCTGGCCGGCTCTGTTGTGATTGGTCAACCACTTAGAGATGTCCGAACCCTTACCCTATCACGTACAATGTATAGGAGCGCAAAGTGGGTTGGTGAGAAACTCCCTCTGGAGTGATTTTTGGGATTTTAGCCTTTATCGATCATTAACATGCACACAATCCTATATAACTCACTACAGGGAAGAGAAAAGCCCAAAACATCAAATAGGGCCTATTTTAACACTTGGCTTGATAATAATAATGATAACAATAAGGTGAGGGCACATTTTGAAACTAGGTCCAGTGGCAGCCAAAGATCTTTCCCTGTCAAATATGGAAATATAATGGGTTTCTTCTGTTTCATATCCGATTAAAGTGGATATCTTTGAGTTTAAGACTGACAAAACCAGCCTTTTAACAAATCACCTTGGACTTTAATTAAGAAACTGGAATGGATATTTTTTCCATTCATTTCTGACATTTTATAAACAATTTATTGGCACATTATTTGATAAACAAAATTGGCAGTTGTAGCACTATTCTTTGTAAAGTATTCCAGACTGTGCTATTCACAGGGGAGGCATTTAGTGGACTCTTGCATGCTGGTTGTCGAGGCAACAAGAGTGCTCAATGACTAACAATTGAATGCCAACTTCATGGCCCAAGTTTATGACAAGTTTTCAAGCAAATATTTGAAGTCTCATAACTCATGATAACCCTGAAGACATTGTCAGCTATCAACAAAGTGGGGTTGATATCGTGAATGACCATAGAGCTATTTTTCTGCTATATATTGCAAATATTGAATATCTTAAAACATATAAGTCCTCAGGTTCTCCCAAATAGTTCCACTAATTAGGTTGGGATGCCTAGTTGACTCACTATAAATATTTCAGCACTCCCTAACAGATGGGGGTATTAATCAATTGTACAATGTAATTAATCTACATTTTAACAGCCAAGCTTTTTGCAGTGGGTGTAGTGTACTGCTGTAGTCTGGCAGCAGCCTCCCGCTGCCTCGGAGCTGTGTACTCCTGTTGATTCCACAATAACACTCTTTCCTCCCGAATAAACTTCGCCGAGGCTCCCTGTTCACACAACTTTGTTTTTTGGTAATCAGTTGTGTGAATGAGTAGCAGGCTGTGAGCAAAATGATTTAAAAACAGACGCTTTAGGGCAAGAAAAATGTGTCATGACAGTGAGTCAACTGTGACTAATTACAGGCCCTACAGCCCCACACCCTGCCTCCTCAAAGAGCTGAGAGTTTCTGCGTTGGAAAGTACAATAACATCACAGGCTGTGGAGGAATCCTGCCTCTGTACTCAGGCACCTTGTCCCTGTGTGCATGGGTGTCACTTTGTTTTGAAAAGTGGTGGTGACGCATTTTTTTAAATAAACAAAGACAAATAGAGCGGTACAGTGATCTTGATTGTTATAGGCCAACCCAGAAATGAACATCACAAGGGGTCCCTCAACAAAAAGCAATGGGATATTCTCAATGCAATACAGTATACTTCAGAAAATAAACTCAGTGCCCAACAAACGTTTGTGATAATTAACATATTTTGGTCAGCAGGATAATCTCCACATATTAATAGCACTTTGTGTTTTTGAAGCGTAAATGCAATCGGCAGGAGTAAAAAGCTAACGCTATGCTATAAACAAACTACTTGGTGACAAGAACATTCAACGTAGTTTCACCATATGTATAATGGTCATGTCTTCCCATAACTGTGTTGAAACATCCTGGATACGTTTTTCTTGAGGTAAGTTACCTGGTGTGTTTTTCCAAAGTATCACATGGTTTTTGTTCCATGTTTGAGCTATCATCTGTATGTTGTTCACGTTGCAGCTACCCAGTTCTGACATTTCACCAGCATACCCAGAGTTAATTATGCCTGTCCCTATATGCCTTATTTAGTTGACAAAAGTCCTGACCTCATGCACCATGAGCTGTTTGCACATATCTAATGTCAATATGTTCCTTTGTGTGCCTGCTAGTCCAAAGGTGGTTGTGGCGAACATACTTTCAACAAAATATTTAGTGTATGACTCTGGAGTATGAAGGCTGAGGTGTGCAGTATATCATGCAGAGAAATGATCCCCTACAGGTGTTGTTGGTGTAAGAGGGAAAAAAGCTCATAAATGCCAAGTTTTTACTGAACCCATCCTAATGAAATGTCTTTAGGTACGCTGAAAGTTGCACCTGAATACCAAAATAATATTGGGCAATGAAATGTGTCTATGCGTGAAAAGATATATCGAAATACAATCCGGTTCTACTGATTGCTTTTGAATAAAGAGAACAGAAGTCATGATATTTATAGTGGTGTCAATCGATTGAAATATGTAATCCTTTTGATCACACTAATAATGTGTGGTTAATCACAAGTTTATAATAGTAGTGTTTACTGGAATGTTCTGGTGAAATCAAACAAAAACACGTGTGGTGTAGTAATTAGAAAACGTGTGACAAACTGGTGTTAAGTCTGACTTTGTTTTGATTCATTATAACATCTCAGCTTAGTTTTGATGATTTCTGAATTATGAATTTCTGTGAATCTTTACTATCGCGTTACGTTTTCCAGACTAACCACCAGTGCTAATGTGTTAACGTTGACAGCCCTAAATATTACATGCTAGCTGCTGGTTTGCTAGCTCCTGTAACTCAAAGGTTATTTATTTACTTTTTTTTTTATTGAATAATGTCTACACTTGATATTTTAGTATATCTACTACTAGAAGTGTATGATATGACTTGTGGGTCAGGAGTCAGGACATCTCTGCAGCACCACAATACTTAATTCAGAATGATATTTGGACACATTTTGCCTTAAATAAACATTGCGCCTCCTTAGATCTATATATTGTCTACTATATTGTGATTTTGTATAAATTCCAATTATTTTTCAGCCTGAAAACTAAAAAAGCATATACATTTTCACCTACACGATTTCCTAACACCAGTAACTTGAGCGGTTCTCTCTCATTTAGCATGGCCCGCCTCACCCTTAAGGGTTAAACACTCTCTCATTGTATAGATCTGGCGCTGCCGACACACTGTTTAACTGCCGGGCCTCTATAGGAGGCACCAGAACATGACCTGGTACACAGACAGAGGGCATGTCGCCTCAGCCTGTCCAACAGAGCAGCCTTCAGTCAGCTTCACTCTGAAAAACTAATTTTGTAATTACAAGCCGGGCAGACAAACGACGTCTCACGCAGCAAACACATATAGAGGCTTGTTAAAAAGGACTTTGTCTCAGTAGTCTCATTCAGACTGGCGGACATGTTCAATATGTCTAACGCCGCTCCCTCCCCCGCTTTCGTTCAGTTTAGGAAACAACAAACAATGCGGTTGCTATGGGCTCATCTGGGCGCCCTGAGACCGCATTTCAGCAGCAGATCAGACGGCCAACAGTCGAGTTACTGACAACTCACAGAGAGGGTTTACTCCTTTCCCAAACAAACATGGAGCTACTGCAATCCTCCAACTCTGCTTCTCTAGAAGTCAACACTAGTTCAAGAAAGACTAAGAATATGTTCAACAGTTTCATTGCAAACTCTTGTGGTAATCATAAACAATTGTTATGGGTTACTACGTGCTTGAGGCAAGTTTCTAAAATGCCTGAAGACCCTTAGTACACTCTCACTGGAATTGTCAAACTAAATATAAAAGTCTAAGCTTACTTTGGCGACTAATCAATGTTGTGCAATAAACTCATTTCAACAAGAAAAGAATAGACTTGTAGACTCCAAGGCTCATCAATATCAATATATTCAGTTCTCCTCAAAACACCAAGATATTGCAAAAATAAATACATTCTAAAAAATCCTCTCATTCCTGCCAGAACTTCCGAGCAGTAATCTCCAATGATGAAAGAGTTTGAATATGTTTACGATTAGGCAACACACAAAACACCTTGGTTATACAAGCCATGCACATGATATTCAGCTGAAGCAGGTTACAGATTACTGTAACAGAAAAAGTCTTCCACTTTTGGAAGCATAAAAAAAATGACAACATTAAAATGACTCCTTACAGCATCTTCCTCGAAATCAAGTCAGAAGAAAAAAAAGACTCAAAGATAAAAAAAAATGTTTCAGTCCCATTCCCAAAGCTCATTTGGTAACTGTAGTCTGGGATGAACCCTTGCTATTTTTAGTGAAGCGATAATATCATCATCGCAGTATCTTTCTAAAGTGGTAAACTAGGATTAGGATTATATATCAGGTACAAAACAACTCTACTGTAAAACTGTAAAACTTGGTACAAACTAAATAACAGTCTTGTCCTGGTGACATGTGTTCCTGACTCACCAGTTTCTCCATCTCCTGCTCTCGTAGCCTCTCCTCCCTCTGTCGACGGTGGTACTCCAGCAGCTCATCCTCGTTGTCGCTGATCTCTGTGATGCTGTTCTTCCTCTCCCTCATTCCAGGGTGGGGTCTCCCTGAGGACATCTTCCTATGGGTCCTGGGGCTGGAAACAGGGGAAGATCCTGGTAGGGAGCCCAAACTGTAAGCAGGTGACAGGGAATTCCCAAAACTCGCCTTCCGTCCTCCCGAACCCCCACCGCCGTCCATCATCATGGAGGTAGGCGACGGACTGCGGGCTCGGACCCCCCTGCTGCTGCCAGTTGGCTCCTCGGACGTAGATCCACTCCTGCGTCGGAGCCTGGGACTCACCGGGATGAGCTTGCCCAGACTTGAGGGGCTTTCTGGAGTTCTTAAGGTTGGTATCATCCCTGGGAGAGCCCCTGGTAGTACTGGGACCCCTCGTCGAGCCATGGAGGGGCTAAGAGGAGGCAGCTCCCTCATACTGCAGCTCCCTCCACCGCCACCATTCAGCTCCATGTTCCTCCTGGCCATGCGAGGGCTTTCAGGGGCCTGCAGCGAACGCGGATGCTGCTGGAGCGGCGATCCTTGGATGATGTGGACGATAGGGTCCAGAGGAGGCTGGAAGGCTCTGTTGGGTTGGGAAAGCTGCCTGGAGGAGCTGGGGGTCAGGGGGAAATCAGCGAGACTGGTCTGTTCTCTGAAAGGACTGGCAGGTCTTTCCTGGAGCACTGTGGTTGACTTGGTCCTGGGACTGGAAGGAGACTGCGATGGACAGTTAGAGAATTTGGTAATGAGTCTTGGGCTGCTTGGCACTATGTGTCTACTACTGAGAGATTCACAAGAGGAGAACATAATCTGTCGGGGGCTCTCAGACCCATCAGGGCCAAGTGCTCTGCGGCTTGGCTTAGGGCTTGGAGGGGCCTCTGATAAGACCTTCCTCTGCAGCCTGGGGCTTTCCTGAACCTTCTGGCCCACCCCACCGCTGCTGAAGTTAGGCAGTATAGTCCGTGGCTGGGGGACAGGCGCACCCCAGCCGGCGATGGGATTGGTGGAGAAGTTGTAGCTTGAGGAGCGTACAGGCACTGGCGGAAGAGAATAACTCTGGTCCTGGGGTCCTCCAATAGGAGATGGGCTAGTAAAGCTCCCACTGCTGGCTGCAGATGGGGAGGAAAGGGGGGAGAAGGGAGGGGATGTATTCTCATAGCTGGATCCAACGGACATAGCCCCTGGGCTGGTAGGAGGGGACAGTAGATACCTGCCACCTCCATTGAGCATTGGGGACAGGGGGGAATGGGGAATGGATTGGCCTCCAGAAGGCTTTTGGCCATCCGAGGAAGAAGGCTGTGGATCATCCATGACTAGAGAGTCCATGATGTCCTGGAGGTCTTTCTCAATAGAGCTTACGATTGCACTGTGCTCAGACTGGACTCTTTCTCCATGAGTTTGGGGAGACTGGACTGGACTGGCCTGGTGATTCCCATTGACAAAGCTCTCTGTGCCTGAGGTTAAAAAGACAAAAAACAACTTTCATTAGTCTTTGTCAAAAATGTAATAAACATAGAAACTAGACTACAGTTATGTTTAATCTATTGTGCAACAGAGTCTGAATTGGAAGTATAAATATACTCATACTGAAGAATTCAGAAAAACTCTTGTCTTACAGTTTATAAAATGTTAACATAGAAATGTGTCAGAAAGGAGAGCATAAGGGCAGAGGAAGAATTAGTGGTGAGGAAAAAGGGAAGGACACAGAGGAGCAGATAGGCCTGGACATTGGATAGGGATCAGGAGACAATGTGCCTACATAACCCAATTACTGTGTGGCTCGAAAGCAACATAGGACACGGGGTGGGTAATCTAATCTTAACTGTCTGTTTGAAGTCACTATAGTAGATTATGACAACAGAAACGCACGGCCACGTGGGAGATTCAACAGCATGGCCTTGAGGCAGGGATCAGGTTGTATTAATGCAAAATGAAAGCTGTTTGAATAGACTTCTTGACTGTTTAAATAGAAATATGAAGATAAATGTTGCAGAGTCATCCATGCAAACACAGAGAGGTAATAAAAGGCCACAGAAAAAGCTGTCATGTCCAATAGCATTGTTATGATATTACAAATCGTACAAAATGACTGTGGGATAGTGCAAACGATTACACAAACATAAGAGAGAACAGAATACATTGTTTTGTATTACAGTAAATTATGATGTCAGAGAGAGACGTCCCAATGGCAAAACTGCTCTAAAATATAAAAACTTCACAAATAATGCATTAGCTGTGCTTGTTCAACAGAGATGGGGGCAGCTTCCTGCCTGCTCCCTTACAATGCAATACAACGAAGCTCTGCCTTCATGACAACCTGACCACAATTAAATCTGAAGATTGTGTCACGCAAATGTTACAGCATCGAGGTCTGCAGGCTGTCACAGTAATTCATTGTATCCATTCACCAATGCATGAATGTCAATGTCACATCGTGTCGCACGGACAACAACCCGTCTTGAATGTATGTACAGTCAAGAACGACGGGGGTGGGTTGACGAGAAAAGCAACCGTTTGCTGAGGGAAAGCCCATGCAATGATGTCATGGGGTACAGACGATCGGCTCGAGTGCACCAAACCTCATTTAAAAATATGGCAATTTAATATTCGCTTGACTACCGGTAATGCTGCATGTGGGATGTATCATGACTTAACACATTTTCTTACATGTGAGGACCCCAACAATTCGGCATTGATTGCATCGCCAACAAGATTTATTTACTTAAATATACACTTGATTCATCTGACATCCCTTAAATAACCCTAACCATAGACGACCAGAACACATTAGGATATTGTGACACAAAAATTCAATTATTTTAACGAATAAATGGACATATGTATCGATCTTCATTATGCCGAATGAAGGATGACATTCCAATACATCGAAGTAAGAATGTAATTGTGTCCCACACTGTGTTCACATTTCCAGAAAAGCAAGTGAACATAAAACCGACTGATTTTTTAATGAAGTTTCGCGTGACACCGGTTCCTATCACTTCTCACACCCAGAGCTCAGCAATAAGCAGTAGGGTTAACGTTACTCACATGAAGGAATACAACCCGGTCAGTTTCAGGGCAGTTCACCTGCAATATGACACACACTGAGGCCCACATCCTCCGGACACCGGGGACAGACCGGGTGTGACGGAGCCCTGCCGTGTCTAGCTCCACACACAGCGAGGGAGATATAAGATTCACCACCGAGGCGGTCTTTCAGCAGGGCGGGCGTAGGGGTGCTAAGCACCGCTGCTGCTTACAGTATCACGATGGTCAAGTTGCCTGAAATGTAACATGACGTTTTCCGGTCAAGACCTTCAAAATAAAAGCACGACTCACTTAATAAATCCGCTAGGAAAATATATATTCTCCTATGCTCCCATAGCGAAGACGAGCATATGATAAAATACATAGGTTACTTACTATAATATACATCTCAATGGGACAGACATAATGTGATAGACACAATCTACAATAATGCCTAGTAGAGTGTGACAAATACTAACATTGTTCCTAATGTTCTGAAAGATAATAATATAGCCTACTGCCTTTTGTACTTTACAGAGAAGACACACACAAATGAGACCGATAAGTCTCAAAACATACCGTTCCCCCCAAATCGGAAATGTACTTTAATTTGAAAGAAAAGGCGCCCTACTTCCTTTGCCATGGCTACCTTGACCTATCTCTTCTTCTCCAGGGTGATGTGAACTGCTGCGAGATTTACAGAGCTGTTTTTAAAGAGTCACAGCAGTGGATGTTATGGCTTGTCATTGTTATTGTCTCTATAATGCAGATTATGTCAGTTTTAGATGACACAGGGGAGAAGTAAAGGCATCCACAAATTATCCATACTGTGGCACTTCGCTCATATTTTGCTGGCATGAAAAACTAAATTTCCTAGATGAATTGAATTATTGTAGGCTTCCATTTTTAAAATACAGTGTTGTCATCCAGGCCAGGGGAAATGGCAGGATAGCTTTTTGTATTTAGGTCTGATTAACCAGAGCAACACAGTAGCCTGAACAAGTACAACTATCAAGGTCTAAAAAGCTGGACATATTTCTTCGCATTTGTTTACAAAAATACAAGCTTTGGCAGCATTCAAACACTGCATTTTTTGTAATAATAGTGCCGGAGAATATTATTATCATATAGGATCATATAGAAATATTTCATTACCAATAAAGTCCTCCAATGAAAATGACATTATATTAAAGTATTGATAGCCAAATGTACTTCTAAAGTAAAAAAAAAAGTCAAGTTAAAGTAATCATAAAAATGTTCTATGTGCATGTTATACCCACACATATTAAAAGATACAATTGAATAAGTGTACATGTAAGCAGCACTTCAATGTTGAAGTTGGTTAGGGAAGAGCTAATTTTGAAACTGTATTATACAATGTTATACACTTTGCAGCTGAATTTATATCAAAGCATCATATTTTACAAAACCATTGATGTCTATGTATTTTTTACGTATGTAAAATGTTCATCTGCAAAGTAACTACATTGGTCCATAGTATTGGTCATACAAATGGAGTAATATAAATTATAATAGTTCCCTCTGAATTGTTGTGTTTACTTTAAGTACAACATAGCATGAAATGGAAACGTTTGAATACAGTACAAGTACACATTTTTGACATTTTTCAATAGATAAGTAAATATGCCTTTTTAGATCTGACCAAATGTACTTAGATTTGTTCAAAATACAGCTCTATTTAAATGTGACTCTGTATTGGGAATATAGAACAACCTAAACAGATTTAATTCAAATTAGACATTTGGAAGGTGTAAGTTGCTTATCTATACTTTATCAGAATCAGCTATATTTTTAAGTATATGTAACATACAAGTGTATCTATGTTGTGCTTTCTGACTGAACTTTTCGATACAAAATTCTGAATTAAGACCTCATTGATGCACCAAAATAAAGTATTAACGGAAAAAATGTGTTTCCCCTTAGAGATGGAAATGTGGGTTTTAAACTGGTTTGGAAATGTAAATGAGAGGGCACGAACGAAGTGCTGACTGCTTTAAATGGGAATAACATTTTCTCCGCTTGCCTAGACGTATTTTATTTATGGTCCCTTAATTCATTGCATAATTAAAAAAATAGACATTTTAAGACCTGGAGGTGAAACCCATTGAGGAAGGGAGGGTGCAAAGATGATAGACAGTAGAATGGGACTAGAGGTTTATAAATAGTCCCTGAAAAAGATACTGTAACCCCATCCGTCGGCCATTTGAGTAAGCAGCTCAGAGCCACAAAGCCGTCTGCTGGCCAGGCAGAGGCACAGGAAACGTCCAATCAGTGAAGAGGTGTTCGCTGAAAGACGCCTGGCTAAAGAAAGCTGGTCAGTGGACCGTCACTGACCCAGTGAAGATAGCCAAAACGGAACAATAGACAGGTGAATGTGACTTCATAAAGATACAGTAGCTCACAACACAAGGACATTTTTTGTAATACATGATGTGCCTGTTATGGTACATTCACAAATGTAGCACAACAGGCACATAATAGATGGCAGCAGCAGATGTGCACGTTTATTTCACCCAAAATGATATAAGTGACTTAAAAAATCACTAGTGAGGTTCAACTCATCAATAAAAAGAAAACTGATTGGAATTAACGATGTGCAGTATGCTTTTTTTTACTAAGGTTTATTAAGAAAATTGTACATTTAAAATAAGTGTAATCCTTTATTATAATGCTAGCAAAGAGGCTTTTGATACATTGGGACACATTCCCGAAAAAATACTGGGATTGTATACATTTATTGTACATATTTGGACCACTTAACTTTAAACAAATAAATGAAAATAAGTTATTAAAGTCAGTTGGCCAGCTCAGTGACTTTTTAATGCATTGGGAAGCCAGTGAGGGATCAGTTACTGGCACTTACCGCCTGGTCTGTCTCCACTGTCACCATCACAACATCCTCCAATTGTCCAAGACTAGGCATTGCCCAATACAGTGGTGCAGGTTGACCTATTTTTGTACACAAATCTTTTTCAGGCTACTTCATGTATGTTCAGAAAACGTTGAATTTGAGACGAGGGAACCGGAAGTGGTAACATGCCAAGTCCGGATTTTAAGACTCAATCGTGCACCACTCTATTTAAATGGTGAAATAAAATAAGCCATTAAATACGGTTATGTACAGTTTCTTATTCCCTAATATTCACACCATTATTTTAGGTACATTGTGGTAGCTGTGGTAAGTAATACTGTCATTAGTTTAATTTAACTCGTTTTGTCAAGTTGTTTGAAGGAGATATTTTACAGCATTATGAAGTAGATATCACAGAGACAGGTACGGTGAAAAAGGTTTGTCTGGAGTCTCCTGCACCTCTTAAAAGTAAAGTTGTGGTTACAGACTCCCTCTTCCCCTATAAACAATAGTATTTTGAGGGTAATTCATTTGGAAAAAACTGACAAAGTTAAAGAAGTATTTTACTTTTTTTAATTATTCCATAGATAACGTGATGATATAGTCGTTGTAAATTATTGTGGCCACAATAATCATGTAGTGTTTATCGGATATTGAGACAGCCCTTACGTTCCTATAGATGGATATTATCATTTTACTGCATGCAAAAAAAAAAGGGAAAAAATCTATGCTTTCAAAGCAAAGTGGGTCAAATGGGTTTGGCTGGGTTTGCCCCTCCATAATTGCTCTGGCACTAGAATACACACACAGATAACAAGTGTAATTTCAAATAGTTATGACATATATGTACAGATTATCATGGGAGTGGTATAAGCAAGTTTCATCTGAACGCAACTCAGGAATGCATAATTGAGGAAAATGACACGTTTCTAAACAACGGAAGGCTTTCATTATTGGAGCAGGAGGTCCACAGCAGCCAGCATTCCTGTGCGCTATACTTATAATGTCCACAGTAAACAGAAGGAAATAACAAGATGCTATGACAGTTGTTCCGCTGCCAGGAGTAGCACTCGGAATATACAGTACACTCTCCCACAGATGCAGTGTGAGATGCAGAGGAACGAGATGCTCATAAAACATGCATGGCGTGAACCCCGGCACCGGGTCCCAGCTGGGCTCCATTCAGGCTGCAGGGTTTAACGGGTGCAGTATTTCAAAGTCTGATGGTGACAACAACGCTGCTGTAACAGAGCTGCAAACAGGCATAATGGGCAGTGCATGCCTCCCTTTAATGTGGTTATGTTAAATAGGACGATTTGAGGGCCTAGAGATGGTGAGAAGTATCTATTTCACACGCAAAACATCTCAGTGGGTTATTTTCGATGGCTTTGTGCGATGACTTATTTTTCTTTGAAGCCAGAAAATCTCTCGAAAGACAAAAAATAGGGCTCCAAAAAACAACAGATAAAGTGCTGCAGAGATGTGGATCTTTCCTAGACCAACCTGAGAGTCTCACAAGTTCCCTAGACACGTTTCTAATGGGATTTTTCCATTCCATTTTCAATTTTTCCAGAAAAATAAACTCCACAGCAAACTAAAGTTGTTGATACTTACACAGTTGACTTAGCAATATTTTCTTCATAAATAAAAGGCATTCATTAAATCGTCATAAGTGAAAGTCTAGATTTGGGCTTTAAATGAATGGCTCTATGTCAACAACAACAATAAGAAAAGACACTTAAAATGATCCACTTTTCCACCTGCAGAACCACACCTGTTCCTTTGATGAAATGGAAATGTGTTTTTAAACACCCACCCTCCCGATCTTTTTTCAAGTGTTTGGTGTGATGATGTTTAGAAGTCACGTAAAAGATTCAAAATCCATGAATGGAGTATTAACTTACGTATTTGTTTTTACACTTTTTACACAAATACATATTGACTTTGAGACAAGGTAATATAAATTGCAAAAATGCTGACTCATTTCCGAGTTTTCATTCCTGCAGCATTATGGTAATTTAGTTTAATAGAATATTGTGAGAGCCTTGTATTGGCCCAGTGTTGTTTATCACCAAATTAATCTACTGTTCTAGTCCCAGCAGGTTTCCCTGTGCTTCTACACTCCCCTCTACCCATGCCAGGCTATAAAAAAGGAATAGTGCTGGGTTTTACTGCTGTGCAAATATCCACCTGTAAAAAACACTGCCCTGCTGACGGAAATGGCATTTCTAGGCTTTATTATTAATGTGACAAAAGGTCAGTGTGTTTTACTCACAATTGGCCTATGTTTGTGGAGGAAAGAAACCCTGACAAGATGGTAAATGTCGCACTGCTGTGAGAAAACAGGCTGAAAATACAGTAAAAGTAATGAATGGGTGTAATAGGAGCCTGCAGGATTCTAAAGTACCTGGACTGAGTCTGTAGTCCCCGGCGGAGAGACCTCCTCCCTGAGGCACCATGCTCTTCATCCTGAGGGCTTCTTCAGGGTGGTTGAAGCGAAAGTAGGCCGACTGGCCAAAACACAGCATACAGCCTGGAAAACAGAACAAATATCATTTTAATATTTCGTTTTAGAAAACCCTCAGGAATATATGAAAGGAGGGCTTAAAGAAAATAACTAATTATTAACATATTAACATTTACTGTAATATAATTTCTTTATTGTCATTGCATCAGGTACAAATAAATTAAGCTATCTGGTCAGTGCATTTCCACATCAATAAGAAAGTATATGATTAATGCAATTTACAACACATATAAAATCACAGCAAGTGATTTGGTGAAGGAGTCAAAGTTGTTCTGACATCATCAGGAGAGAAACAAACAAGAACAGACTGTGTCCACCATCATCACCAGTGTTGCACACAAAATAAAACAAAGCATGAGGGCACAGACTCTTTGGTCCCTGTGTACAAACGATGAAGGATGAAATTTTGATAAACTGAGATGAGAAAAACTGCAGCCGATTTAAAACATTTTGAAGTAAAGATCTTTCAATAACTGCTAAAATTAGACATTAATAACTTCCACAAAATCTCACATTGATATATATTTTTCTTTCTGGGAAGCAGGAAGTTGCATCAGAAGTGCAAATCACTTTGAATGAGTAAAATACCCCCGACATCAAATAAATCCGTCTTCTCTCGGTTAATTAACTCCCATCGGTTTACGCAGTTGAACTGTCTGATGTGCCTCGCCCCGACATCCTGCGTCTACTGATAATGCAAGCAATTAGAAAGATAAAATGCTCTAAAAATGCTGTTTCTGGACGTATTCAATCCCAGAGTAAACAAAGTGATGAACGAAGAGATCTTCTACCAGAAGGTTGGTTACATGTTCGTTGGCTATGGTCAGGGTTGGGAGGGTTACTTTGTAAATGTAATCAGTTACTGATTACTGAATACATGGCTCTGAAAGTAATCTGAATACAGTTACAGTTACGTGTCTTAAAAAACGTAATCAGATTACTTTTAGATTACTTTTGGATTACTTTCTTTTTCCATCACAGATGGGTATGTTTTGGTGTACAGGAGACACAAAAAGCAAAAGGAAACTGAACATGTTTTACTGTTTTAATGGCTTATCAAGAGCACAACTGAAACATAACATCTGAAACGATGTAACAACATAATAAACTCTTTGGGGATGCAGCTTGGGATGTGAGGAGTGAGGGACACGGCTTAGAACGGGCGTGTCGCCTTCTGTCCTGCCAGTGTTGGCAGGACATGAATTACAATGTCGAACTCGGACTTCATTTTAAGGACATTTCGGCCAGGGGTGTAGAGCTATATTTGTTTAAGCACCGGATTGGCAAAACAGGACAGGAGAGTGTGTGCACCAGTCTGCCTTGATCTATGAATTAATGTCTATGACACTCACAGTATCTGCTGCCCGCAGCTGTTTTATAGAAGGAAAACCTCCTTCACTTCATGAAATCTCTGCAGCACCAGGAGGCAGCGGGAGGGTTAACTCAGCCTCTGAGAAGACGAGCACGCAGTGCCTTCACTGTGTTTACCTTCAGAATCATTTGAAAGGCTAAAGACTAAAGAGCGACCGCAGGCTGATGTGTTTTAACCACACACACCTCTACACACACACACACACTTTTGTTCCTCCATGTTTCGTTGTTATCGTTTCACTGAGCGGACCCGCACATTTTTTTCAAACGCTCCCTTTATTGGTCCATCTGCGGCGGTAATAGGTTTTGTGCGCTGTGATGATTCGGCTGTACCTTTAGTAATGAATATTAAATGTTGTGAGGAAATCTTTCCACCAATAATTCCAATAAGTAATCTAAAATGTATTCACTTCAGGTTTACGAAAGTAACTGTAATCAGATTACTCGTTTTTCAAATGTAACGCGAGTTGAATACAGTTACTTGATTTTTGTATTCTGATTACGTAACGCCGTTACATGGCAAACACAACGTTCCCCTACAACTCATTTCAGCTTTTTCAGGCGCATGGTGCTCTCACTACTATCATCTCTAAACTGTCAGGTTGATGGTCACATGCACTCGTATTTGTTGTTGTTAAAAGCTCAAGTTATATCAAAATACACGAGAGCTGCTTAACTACAGGTTATGCACCTGATATTACCACAGTTCATGTTTTAATCTCTTGGAACTAATATTCATTGACTCTTATCACTAATAATAGTGGTTGAAATGACTAAGTGTAACGTTAAATGTGTCGCTCATAGTGTCAAACCCACATAGAATAATCACCAATTACAGGAAAGCCCACACAAGTAGGCTGAACAAATGACCGAGTTCAGAGGTTCCTGTTGGATTTCCGATAAAGGGATTCAGCTGAGGATCACGCTTTTACTGAGAAACAAAAAATATCAACATCAGCAGCTAAAAAGCCACACTTTTTCCTAAAGAGATGGTGGAGACCAAAAACAGAGCAAAAAAAGAAAAGAAAGGACTTTTGGACCTTCGTTGATCAAAAGGACACAAACAGGATTTCATTTGCACCACAATGTTGCCTCCTCTCTGTTGGATATGCAACTCAGCAACAGGTTTTTTTAACCACTTTATAAAGTGTTGATTTAAATGTTGTGTATTAGCAAGTTTCTGCTCACCCACAGGATCCGAAAAAAGTGAGAGTTGCCAAATGCTGCTTTGAAATGTCACATATACAGTATACTGTAGTGTGCATGTCACTTGGGAGTTCTTCCAATGATTCTTCACCTTTTTTGCTGAATGAAACACTGTTGTGTCAGTGTGTGGTTTTGTCAACCTGTGCACACTGATTGTGAAGTATAAAGAACAACATAAACTGCTTTTGATTTTGCTTCAAGGTGTCTCTAGTGTGAAGCAGGCAGATAATATTAACACAGCCGATAGCCATGAACTGACAGTGTTGCTTCTCACACTAATCAGGCATGTATTCACATGACACAACCCAACACATACTCGGTTTCTATGGTAGTGTCAATCACATCCACTTACTGTCGTAGTTAGCAATGTCAAAACAAACTGTACGCATAACTAATTCATCCCACCATGCACAACAAGCTCGATGACAGATAAGCAATCTTGTGTTTATTGCTTTCTCAATATTGCACCATTGTCCTGCCGAGATTACGAGGGAAAGGTCTTCCCGCTCGGTCAGAGATAAGATCCCTGCCTGTTGTCACTGACAAACACGAGGCAGAAGGTAAAGGCGGAAACTTCTCCGTTACACAAGAGGCTGCGGTGATGTAGAACAAAGCCAGATGCCCTTTTATTTTGGACAGACGCACACTGACAGCTTGGAGAAAAGCACCTGATTACATCATGAGCACCGGGCAAAGGAACAGAGCGACATAGATGGAAAAACTGTGTTTATTCATTTGTTGTCATATATATTTCCTACAACATATATTTTTTTTTTTACTATTTTTTTTTCTTTTTTTATTGTGTGTCAGTCATCCACACCAATCAGAAGTGCTGTGCTCCACATGTACCAGCCATTGTTAATCAATCAGAAGTGGCCCATGATAGAAGGTGATAGACAGATTGATCCAATCACCTGCCAAGTGCTTTTGAAAGTGCCTACCCTTTCCAAATGGCTTCCAATGGAGCTTTAGATGCTTTGGTGAAACCAACCATCTGAGTCAGGTTAGTAATGCTCCATCACATGTTTCTATTACAGGGTGACTCTTAAACTGAAGCTTGACTTTAAAGCAACCCAACGGAAGTTTCATGTAAGTTTAGTTCTTTCACTCGTAGCTCGGGCTGCGGGGTGCTAGAGACGGGAGCACGTTGATACGACCTTCCTAGCCGGAGTTATGGCCGCATTTTACAATAAACTTCCGTTGGGTAGCTTAAAAACAAATATCGCAATTCGAATCGCAATATTTGTCAGAAAAATCGCAATTCGATTTTTTCCAAAAATCGTGCAGCCCTAAACCACACCATCACTCGTTTTAATTGTTTAATTTGATTTGTTGTTATTAACTACTGAGTATCATGCTCTGTTGTGATATTTCAATGGACTACACACCAGTGATGGATCAATGCACTCAGGACTTATGACTAACACTTAGTCATCTTGAGACTTTCAGATGCATAATAGTCGAGTATTGTCTCTGAACTGAACTAAATAAACTCAGAATGGAAGAATCTGATGAATGACATTTATTAAATGGAAGAAAAAATGGGTTGAAGAATGGGTGAAATATAGAACACCAACCATTACTAATGACACTATGGTAAGATGTGACAATACATTTAGGCATGAGTATCAATGATATATCCGTTATTTGTAAACTATATACTATAAGTTATTGTTAAATCATTTCTCTCTCTTTTTGCACATTTTCTGATTTGTGGATTATTATTTTGTTATTTAGTGTACTTTAGCATTAAAATAGCACACCATATGGAACTTCACCGCTTGTGAAGAACTGCTGACAAGCAGTGGTTCTAAATACCAGTTAAATTGATACTCTTTATTGGTACAATAAATACCACATGCCTACATGAGCTGTCCACATGCAGCATTTTGCTTATTTGCATTTCGTTTTTGTAAATGGAAAGAAGAGGCCAGTTTCCATCAGCCTTCCCTTCAGTGGTTACGACACTGTCCCAACTTTGGTTGGTATTTTCCACATTTGAAATTGTTTCCTTCAATATTTGGATGTCTCATCATCAGTAAATGACCGAGCCATAAGTCTGGTCATGAAAGAGAAAGACAGAAAGACGCTGAGTGGGATAATTGAAAGCGGTCATCAGGATGTTCATACTGCGGTCTGCGGAGCCACGTCAGCTCAGCCACCGTGTCTTCATGCAGTCATCCGACTCCCTCACCTAGCTCCTGTTTCCTCAAGGATTCTGGCAGCTCCTCTGCCTACAGCACACACTCTACCCTACATCTGACGTGCCCTAACATGATCTCCCCGGTGAAGATCAATTCAGCCACTTCTAAGGAACATGTTGAATAAAATAACGTAGCTGGAAGCGATGTGTTTCTGACACAGTCATCTCTCACTGAGATCTTGCGGGGTTTTGGTGACAGCTCTGTGGCGCACAGTCAGTTTTACTC